AGACAGAACCACAAGGGACTTAGCGAGTCTCCTTGGAAGAGGCCGCGGTTAATTGCGATATTTTCCGTTTCGATATTGTTTTCACCAGGTATTTGGAGGTGAATTGTAGTCTTCCAATCTGTCATTATATGTCTTAAGAAGGTCACTATATTATCATCAACTTTATATATTCTTAATATATTTACCAGCCATTCATGCGGCACTGAGTCAAAGGCTTTCTTATAGTCAATAAAAGCAGTGAAGAGGTTCCTTTTTTTGGTGTATGCCTGGTTAGAAATGACTGAGTCGATAATAAGTTGTTCTTTGCAACCCATGGAGCCCTTAGCGCATCCTTTCTGTTGAGGTTCTATGATATTGTTTAGAGCGCAGTGTTGGTAGATACGCTGGGCTACACAGGATGTGACCAATTTATACAGAGTTGGAAGACACGTAATTGGGCGGTATTTGGCTGGATCTTGGGTGTTATTTTGATCCTTCGGTATTAAATAAGTTGTTCCCTGAGTTAGGAATGATGGAATTTCCTGCGGATTAGAAATAACACGATTAATTAATGTCGACAGGCACTCATGAGCACTCCAGAACTTCTTAAGCCAGAAGTTTTGAACACCATCTGGTCCAGGAGATTTCCAGTTATGAAGCTCTTTGATGATATTAGAGACTTCTTCTGTGGTGAAGGGTTCATAAACAGTTGTGCGGTAGTGTTGACAGCTGTGCGTCGTATCTTCTATCCATCCAGCATTGGTGTTAAGAGCAGCTGGTGTGGAAAGTTGATTTCCCCAAAACTCCTGAATGTCTTCTTGGCTTGGGTATGATTTATTGGCACTTTCGACAGTGGAATTAAGTTTCCGATAGAACGCCTTCTCGGCATGCTCAAAAAGCGCATTGTCACATTTTCGGCTGTTACTAACCTTGTACCTCCTTAGTCGTCCTGAATAAACGGAGAGTTTTTGTTTTAATGTATCCAGGCACTGATGGGCTGTGATGTTTACTGGATCATATTGCGAGTGTCTTGCAGTGCTTAGCATTATTTGATCAGCTCTTTTAATGACTTTTCTGCTTGTTGTTCCTCGTATATATTCTGTCATTTGACCAATGTCCCTACGCAGTAATTCAATCTTGTTTAGAAGCCGTTTCTCCCAGGGTGCAGCTCTGTTATCAGTCCTTCCGGCATTGGTACCCCGTCGTGTTCTGATCTTAATTCCCATTATATTAGCTATTGCTGTTGCTGCACAGTAAATAAGCATATGCAAATATTCCAGCGTATGGGCTTCTACGACGTAATTGGGTAGGACTTCAGTATTTATAATTTGTAACAGAGCACCTAGTTTTTTAGAAGAGTTTATTTTTGGTAGCGGTGGTCTGCTAAGTGGATTTGTTCCATTAAACTCTTGTACAGCTCGTGCCATTTCGCTTACCAGAGTATCGCGTAACTCGTTGTTGTCCTGTAGTGTATTATCAGGTTGAGTTTCTTGTATGGTAAGCTCAGGAATCTGCTCATGTCTTTCATTAGGGACTTGATCTACATTTACCTCTTGGTGATTAATCTCCCGTTCGACTTCGCTTCTGATGGTATTGCGTCTAGTCTCTGGGATAAGATTATTTCTTATAATTACCCGGTATTGATCAGCAACTCGTTGTTCAGTTACTTGAATTTCTGGGTACTGCCTGCAAAATTCGGCATAGAGATTTTGTCGATACCCGATCGTTTCTTGACCGAGGTTAGTCACCTGGTAATAGAAGCGCAAAATATTCTCATTTATGGACGCAGTCCATTTCATGCGCTGCCTCGGTCGTCCCGCTTGGGTGAGCGCCGGCTGATGTTCCAGCGCAGCACCTTCAGCGAGTGGAGCTCTTGTTGTTGTTTGGCTCGCTTGTGGTTGTTCTTGCTGTTGTTGTTGGGCTGTAGCTGATTGTATGACAGGGGCCCGCCTCCTCAACACCCTGCCACCGACGTCCCGCATGCTGTCACGTCCAGCGCCGGCTCCAGACGTGCCCTGGCGATCCCCAGGCAGCGACCCTAAACATAAATTATTATTCTCCATTATCATGGGTGTGCATTTTATACCTACTGCCAGGTGTCAGTTTTTGTTCCACGACAGGTATTCCTGTTACCCTCTGGGTATCTGCGCTACGGATACCCAGAAAGCATCCCCCATTCGCAGGGGGCCGCGCCTGATAGAAGAACTGATAAAAACTCCCACAGGGAGTTATTATCAGTATTATCAGTTTATTATCAGTTATTATTATTATTATTATTATTATTATTATTATTTATATAAAATAATTAGTTCCAGAAAAAAATCAATTCAAGTAAATAAAATAAATAATAAAAAATTTGATATTTTTAGACATTTGTAGCAATGATACAAGAAATTAATTACTCAAAATGATATTGCAAATATTTAATTGAGGTAAATTTGTTAATTCTGTTTTAAGAAGCTCCAGGAAGCAAAATGCATTATGAATGCTCCCCATATATAGAGTTTTTTGTTGCTAAAGCATGTCTTTTACATGTTCGATAGGATTAAGGTTTGGAAATTGTACTGACCATGACAATACATGAAAATACCCTGGTTGATCGATCAGTTTGATGCAACACAGTTGATCGAAAATAGATTTCAGAATGCTATAAAGGTTCTACAGTTATCAGGAATCTCTCCATATCATTATTGTACCACCTCTGGTATGAATTCATCGGTAGATAAAATTGTAGCCCAGTTATTTTTACCCCAATCTTGATATTGTCGACACCACTCTAATCTTTTAGCGTGGTTACCTCGGAAAAGAGGTGGACACCTGAAGTTATAATCGACTTTTCCCATGTGCTCAGCTCCATCAGTTTGCAGCTTGCCAGCTTAAAAAGGGCCCACAGCCTAAAGTTCTATTCATTTCATTCCAAAATTAAACGATAACTTGAACGACTTGAAAATACAGTCATTTTAACGCACCTTCCAAACAAAAACTATATAACGTAATCTTGTAAATATATTGATAAAACTTTTTTACCAATGCTGCTTTTTTTGTTAACCGTTAACATTATACGGAATAAGTATTTGTAACAATAATATACCGAATTTAGACATACGCGAAAATTCATTTTTGTTAATTTTATGATTTTATAACTATATCGCTAGATTTATATAAATGATGTGTTTTTATTTTACTAGTCCTCGTATAACCATAATCTAGCACATAACATAGAACATTCTTATTTCGTTCGCTTTGCGTCTACATATTCGAACCCTAACCACTGCGTTAGTGGAGCAAGAGATTATTACAATCAGCATCAACCTACAGTACAATAAAACATTGGAAGGTGCAATTTGTAAAAGAAACAAATGAATGCAAATGCGTGTCATTTATATGCAGAAGAATTCAAAACACATATTTTACAATAACTGAACCCATATTTAACGAAATGCATGCGAGAGTTGGATCTAATCTGACCCCGAGAATATGTGCACATTCTTGTCCTTTCTCTTAAATAAATATTTCAATACATTTGTAAGAATTTATTGAAACGGATCGGTCGTCTTCTTAAAATGGACAACGTAGAAGGAAGTCAGTCAAAGAAAATAGTTTACCTTTTCTGTAGAAATCTAGAATACAGCGCGTGCCGGATGGCATGATTTTCTTTGTACAGAAAATGTTAACGATAAGAATCAATTATTTATTTTAAATACAAAACAAGACATTAAAAAAATAGTGAAGGTTAAATAAAATAAAATAAAATATAAACTATATAAATATGACTGCCACACATGACGATTGTCCATTGATGACACACAAAATTGATTGTGCATTAAACGACGAATACCTCATAGTAAATATGAATATAATTGTTTTAAAAAATAAAAATTGTCTGTGGTGTCCTTAGTATAAAATCCGTATAGCTGTCTATTCACTTTTTAAAGTTCGTTATTATAAATCAATCCATCAAGCATTAAGTAGCAAACGTTTCGTTCCGAAATCGTGTACAAAACTCAGACCGTCTTTCAATACCAAAGACGAAGACAGTTAAATATAGGAAATAGATTTCAAAGAAAGCGAAAAGGAAAAATCATGTGGTGATCAACTAATAACGTCGTTATTTTGAGATGCGACAGGAAAACTTTGTATTGTTAAGTATTCTTCAAAAAGTAAAATGAATCTATTTAAAAGCGTAGTGTTTAAAATTTTTTGGTTGTTTTTGTTAGAACAGCTACTGATCTAGATCCGCGCCGGTCTGGGAGTATGCGTGGGGATAGTTCTGGGAAGGCAACTTCGCGTCTCGAACACTACGCCTAACAATGGCTAAAAAGAAACGTGCTTGTGGATATATTATGGGACAGAGATCAGGTGTTAATAATGTATAATTAAATAAACACCTACGCATCACCTGAGAATACAACAGAGGATACAGCTATGTAATTAACTGTAGATTTGTTGATTCAACCTGACATTCCCACATACACATATGCACACCTACACTATGCGCAATCGGTAAATCACCAACCAGTCGCATCACAACCAGCTCTTCATACTATAAAAATACGATATGTAACATCGACGTGATGAGATCCACTATCGTGCATCACCTGGGACGAATAGTTCAGTGGGAAAAGTGTTGTCTAATCGAAGTCTCAGAGAGATAGCGTACTGTTGGAGAATATAGCGTCAGAAAAGAACTCAGAAATAAGCGATTCCTTTGATTCTACAAATAAAAAAGGGAACAAGTAGGAAGGCGACCTATCTAGTCTGTCTGTTCAAATAGGTCTTGAATGACCCTAATCAGAGTCTTAGTAACGAAACTTTATCTTAGTTAGGCATCTTCTCGGCCTTTACCTCAGTATAGCAGATATCTAACAAAGTCTCGAGTACTTTTATAATAGTTAATAGTAGATGTACATTAAGCTAATTTACTGCAGTATGACCGGTGAAGAACAGGCAGCAGAACACAGAAAAAGCAGAATTATGTATTATAACCTCTTATAAATCTCAAATATATTTTTCTGTTACAGGTTGTACGAAGGTTTATACAAAAAGCTCACATCTAAAAGCGCATCAGAGAATACATACAGGTAAGAACAATACAGCTACTTAAGTTGTACACCTTGGATTTAACATATTTTGGCTACAAACGTAATCTTCTGATTATGTGCTTATAAGTTACAACACCTCCGTCAACCCCTAGGCTCCACCCACCACAACCAAAAAAGTTTAAATTGCAAACCCCTACTTGTGATATATCATTGAAAAGACTATAAAAATGCTATCCAATTGTATAAATAATAATTATACAGGGGGAAGCAATAATTGTGAAACTTTGGCTTAAATGGAAAATTTAATGAGGTTTTTATTAAACTATAAATTTATTAAAAATATCAATTAGGTAAATGTTAAAAGTGAGTTATATTGTTTTATAAATAATAATACAGCCTATTTTCAAATTCTGCACGAACTTTGGCAAATGTTATTCCAGTAATAGCGCGTCATGCTTTAGTAATTCTTTCTCGCAATTTCCTAAGTGACGCAGGTTGAGTTTTAGAAACAACTGACTTGAGGTAACAATCCATTTGTTCAAATAATTAGTATCCAACGCGTGCCTAACTGGAGCTGCATAGTGAGGAGGTGCTCCAGCGTGTTGGAAGTGCAGCAAATCTTCATCTAGAGCTAGGTTGCCTTGATCGTCCCTTTGGTGCTCTAATTCATGCACAATTAAAGATTCGATGGTGTTTTCCAGCATATCGAGATAAATGGCGGCACTTAAATTGCCTGGTATGAACAAGGGGCCAATTATAGCATCGCCTAATATTCCTATCCAAACATTCAGTTTTTCAGGATATTGAGTGTGACCTTCTCCGAATCGATGCGGGTTAGCATAACTTCAGTACCGACAGTTTTGTTTATTTACATTACCACTCAGCATAAAAGTACAGTGAAACAAATATTTTTTAACATTCTCGGTTCAACACGAATTCTTTCAGTCTTCTTCATAGTTCTTGAAGAATTTGTGTTTTGTACGGGTGAAACTTAAGTAATTTCAACACCTTTCTAACCGATTTATGTGAAAGTCCTATCATTGCAGATACTTGTCGTGTTGATGCAGTAGGAAGGAACTCAATTTGGGATGCTTAATTCAGTAATCTTGGGTCATCCCTTTTATTTATTTTGTACTAATCTCGTTTCTGCGTTTTGTCCGAGTGTCTTTCGTGAAATATTTGAGCTGTTCGTAAATAACACTGATTCTGGGAGGCAAATATGAAAATGATCTCCACGCGTTCAGGTATACTGTAAACCATCGTGACAACTACAGCTGAATAACAGTAACGATCGTACAAAAATGATGATTGCACCAAAAATTATTGAATTGACAAAACCCAAAAAACAGATGTTTTTAACTTGTTTTGCAAAAACGGCAAATTATGTTTTATTTAACAAAAAAAAATTCGACCGGGCACTTATCATTAAAAATGATAGTCCGGGAAATTGCATTACAAATACCAAAGTCATAGTAAGCCGGCTGATATTAACACCCTGTATAATTATTAAACAATAATTACAGGGTCATCAACTGAATCAACAAACACCTCATTAAATTTTCCATTTAAGCCAAAGTTTCACAATTATTGCTTCACCCTATATAATTATTATTTATACCATTGGATATAATTATGTATCACAAGTAGGAGTTTGCAATTTAAACTTTTTTTCGCAAACAAAGCGAATTCCAGTATGTAAAGCAGCATTTGAGCCTTTATTCTATAACAGTTTTAAATTCAGCATTTGAATAACCTACTTCTCAGTGGATAATCGCCAAGAGATTTAAGAGGCCTTAATCAAAACAAGCCACGTGCTATAACGGTAAACTTGATTTTGAAGATTAAAGAGCATATTGAATATTTTCCCTGAAAACTACTCACTCTTCAAAGAAACCTCTGCATTATTTAGATGCAAAATTAAACGTGAATATAATGTATACTCTTCATAAAAAAACATCCAAATCTAAAAGAATTTGTAAAATATGAGTTTTATTTGAAATATTTTAATGAAAAATACAGACTAAAATTGGAAAGATGTCAAGTTGATGTCTGCTCAGAATCTGAACGACTGAGCTTAAAAATTAAAGATAAAAATCTCAACGATATGGATAAACTAATGGCCGCAGTCGAACTCAAAGTGCATAAAAGACGTGCTAAGAAGTTTTATACCAAACTGAACGAAGTAGTAATCATGTGCCAAGAGCGACCTGAAGTCATGGGAATTATGTTCGATATGCCTTCGAGATACACAATTTGAAAAACAACAGTGGACACTTTTATACTTATCATGAAGCTCTAAAAGGTCCAAATGAAGTTTCTTAATTTTTTTTATGATTATATTCTGAAGCATATTCCTACATGTTCTTAACAATTCCTGCATCTTTTTTTCGACGGTTATCCTGGACATAACCGGAATCACACAATGGTGAGGTTTTTCTTGCACTACAAGGAACAAGGTTCAAAAAATTTTCAGTCAAATTTTCACATTTACTACTGCCTGTACTCTGTACCATACTCTATCGCAATTTTAATAACTTGTCCGTTCAAGCTTGCTCTCTTGCTCCTTCTCCATGTATGTGTGTAAAAGCACAGTGAAGCATAAAGGTTTTTTCCGATTATCTCGGGAACAGCTCACTAGCAAAATTGGAGAATGCCGTCAAATTGATCCCTAATTAAGGGCTCTCATTTGACAATTACCTTATACTTAAGTAGCGACTATACTATTAAGTATAGTATAATACATATTTTGTTGGTGAACCAAATGTATTTAACTTAATCCATTTTTTTATTTTTCAGGAGAAAAGCCTTATCAATGCCAGTGGCCCGAATGCGAATGGCGATTCGCACGATCAGATGAGTTGACCCGTCATTATCGCAAGCACACGGGCGCCAAACCATTCAAATGCGGTGTCTGTGAAAGGTCGTTTGCTCGAAGCGATCATCTAGCGCTACATATGAAACGCCATCTACCGAAAACGGCCAAATGAACAAATTTCTGCCACTTTTAACGATTATTTTTTTATATATTTTATTTATGTCACATCACACGAGCACATTCCTTTATTTATGATTCGATTAGAAACTCAAGATGGGCTTTGGAGAACCCAAAAAGGACGCAAACGATATCAACATGATTATATAAATCAAGTTTCTTATGAGACGATATTTAACTGTTGACGTTGATTTTTTGTTTGATATTTATAGAACATTTAAGTCGGATGGATCACAGAAATAATTTTTACCAAGTTCAAAAAAAGATATTTTAAATCGAAATTATCAATGTCGAAACTTTCAACTAAACAACTAACATGTAAAAAGTGTTATATTCGGCAACAGAAAGCATTTTTCACAAACCAGCTTCTGTGATTCAAGAATACATAAAAATCAGTTTTTAAACCTATTAGGAAAACTTCCTAATATTATCGAACACTCAAAGATTACCTAGATCCCTATTTATATTTGTTTTGTATATTTCCTCTTGGCAGGGACTACATATATTTTGGTTTCAAAATAGAAAACCGCTTTCGAAATAAAAAATTGTAATTACATATATAATAACTTTTCACTTGCCACACTGAGGGGAGCTATCACTTGTGATTAAAAATTAAATCGACCAACTATATAAGCAGATATTTAAAGAGGTCTCAGCGGATTTATTTTTTACATCTGAAAAGGATTTGTATTTGAGTAACTGTTTATGAATTTTTCAATGGCTTTTTCCAGCCGTCTGTGAATCTTTAAGTACATAAAAGGCCCTAAGCAACGGCCTAGCTTAAGCCTCACACTCTTGAAGAATTACATGTAAGTGTAGAGAAACGTTGGGAACATAAAACTCTTAAATGATTCACTCAAGTAAATGGCTAAAATTTGAAACTTGTTACATTTGATTATGGCCATGGAAGTCGAAAACTTACATCCTATGTAACATAAAATCGTGTACACATTGAGTATGATTTTCGTGAAAATTAAGCTTTACCAATTTATGATTTTTATTAGATTTGATTTAAAAATTGTTTGTTTGCTCAAATATATAAAATAATTTAATAAAAAGAATAAAGGGAGAAAAACGTACTTACACTAAATACTCATTGCTGAGATAAGTTCTTCTTACCTACTAGTATAACCTACCTGCCCAATCCATTTAACAAATGATTCAGATTTAAGTAAGAACTGTCAGTTAATTAAAAATCTATAATTTCGTAATCTGAATAATGTCCTTGGGTCTCTACAGCGTTATTGAGTAAGAACGATCTCAACGTTTTAAAAACGTTATAATTTTTAATAACATTTGTTAAAGAAAAAGTTGTACCTCATATCAATCTCGCTATTTGCCTTTTTAACAACTTGTGGCCTTTTCCAGTGTACTTAGAAAGATGTTTTATCAATATTAAAGTATTTATAACTTAGTAGAACTGTCTAACAACGAAAAATTATCGTTTTAAAAAAGTTTCTATCGAAACATGGCTTTACTAACAGTATGCTTTGTAAAATAAAAGTTATATATATATTAAGGTAGATGAAGTCTTATAGAAGACCTTTAACTTATCTCTGAAAATAAGTAATTAGCTGAAAATAAGTAACATTTTTGTGTATATTTTGTTAAGTCAAAACGAGAGCACTCATCAATTATTATTCGTTATTCACGGTACATATTTCATTAATTTTTTTATGAAGAGAGATTTAAAATTGCCTGTTAATATAATAAAATACTTGGTAAAAAGGTCAAGGAGACAATTAACCAGTTTTGTTTTTTTTTTGTATAAATATTTTCAATGACTCAATAACTTTCTGAACGTGTTACTTGACAATAGTTATTATATACTTCTATAAAACCCATTCCAAACAGTCTTTTAAAGAATTTTAAAATTTGATACTTCAAGTATTTTTCATTTATCGTGTATGTTCGTAAATTTTTATATATTTTTTTGGCTGTATCCCAATTAGTAAAGTTGGCCTATTTTCACCTTATTAAACAGTTCGTTTTCTTTATTCTGTGATGTATTTTCCAGTGACAAAAAAATTTCGTATGTCGGAAAGGATTGTAAAACTGTATATCCAAAACTGTAAATAAAAAATATTTACTCAAAACGTAGTAGACTCAAAACAAATTTACTTACATTTTTGCGCTCTACGTTATTAAAAAAAAAAGGTTAAAACAGTACTAAGATAGCACGCCATAGTAACTGGATAAGAAAAATTTGCAGTATCCTTCATTACGCTCTCTATTTATTTTCAATTATACCTATCGCTTTAATAAAAATGTGTTCATTGTTTTTGAGCTTAATTTATCCATAGGTGCTATCTAACTAGATATAAAATGTAAATGATACCCTCAGTATGGCCCTTCATCTAACAATCCGTCCATTTGTAGTTCTATAATTGATTTAAAGTTGGTTGATAGTACAAAGGGGACGATATATGTATACATATCCCAACAATTTTGTTGTTGGACAGTTTCTTAATATAAGAATATGTGATTTTCTTCGAGATATTCCATATTTACAGTGTGATATTTTATTCTGTAGCAGCTTTAAAAGAAAATACACAAATATCAGACTGTAAATTCTGACATTTTTATTTAGAAATATAACAGTGTTCAAAATAGTTAATGGAACATTTTGAAATTCAAATTCAGTGAGTAGTATATCCAGCAAAATGCAGAAACAATACTAATTTTGCTATACGCATAAAATTAAAAATATCGATATTGATAAAAAGACGCATATTGTTTTAGAAAACTAGAGATTTAGATATTCTTAAATGCATTTTTTATTTAACGTCATTCGTAAAATATGCACACTTCTCACGTTGCAAAAAAAAAACACAAGTGCAGATCAGGAAAAAAAGTTATTGACTATTAAATATAAAATGCTAAGTAAATATCAATGACTTAACTAAAATAAAAACTTGATTTACTTTTTGTCACTAACAATTTTCCGTTCCCTTTTTTGTCATTAATTATTGGTGTTTATGTAAGTGACTACAGTACAGTGTGTGGGGCCGGTATTTCAAGCCAGCATTTACGAGAACTAGAAGCACTAACAAACTTATTACAGAATTCCCAATCAAGCGGACTATCAAGTGAAAACGCTTAAATGAATGTTTGCTGAAACTCTTTGCAATGAACTAAAACTTTGTTTAATTCGTTTAATTCGATTTGTTTAATCGCTCATAGAAATAATACCAGAAAAAAGATAGATATAATATTGGTAATAATATTCAACAAAATTCAACAAAATTGTCAAAGGAAGAAAGACGTCAAAGAACGGGTTTTAGATGAATACAAAAAAATCGTTGATTAAATATCAATGACAGTGGTACATACAAACAAATGAATCTCTTTTTCGAGCGGCAGTCAATCAAGTGAGGACCGTCAATATGATATAACTAGGCTATGAGGATACAGCAATCCAAGAAGAACAATGTGAATTTTTATCATAATCAGGGAGATATTACAATCAATTAAAATATATATCTACCTTAGGGATTTTAAACTGCAACACTCCAAGACAGAGTTATAAGACACACCATGCCCCCTTTTATTTTTTATTTGCGTTAAGTTAGTAGTGATCTGACAGTAAAATGTCATTTGTGGTAAATGTTATTATGTGCTTATCAAACATGTTCCTTTAATTATTTTAACTAATGTAGTTATGGTTTTTACTTTTGTAAAAAGAGAAAGAATTAATGATTTTGGTTGTGAAATATTTGTTATTGGTGCCCGTTTCATTTGAAAGGTATGCACCTTTGTAATTATTTTTATTCGTGCTATGTACATTATTCATTTATGTATGTATTTCTTTTACATTGCCATCGGTTTACCCACATATGTGATTTTTTTAGATGTTACTTTTGACATAGATACTAGGTAAGCCATTTAAGTAAGGGTTATAAATGTTTTTGGTTAGATATATACTTGTATAGAGGGAAAGTTGTGTATTTTCGTTGACAGTTTTGATATTTATTATGTATTATTATACATAAGATAATAGTATATTACTTTATGAGGCGGAGAAGCATGACTTTCAATCACATCACATTTCAATATAATGCTCAAAAAATTTTAAACCCTCATGATTCGCCAACATCGGGAATGATTGCTGAAAGTTGTTCTCGACCATCAGTATCATGAACAATTACCAATGCGTATCAAGAGTCGGGAACATTTTTGCACGGTTTCAATTTTGAAAAAGCCTCATTAACTAATTGTGCTAATATTACTATAAATAAAAATGATGTTTAATTGTTGTTAATGACATTTGTATTGTTGCCTTGTGACATGTTTCATATTGTTGCCATGACAACAATTTTCCCTCCGCCGTAAAGAAATGGGAAAAAACTGCTGCCGGCGGAGACATCAAACTTTGACACAAGATCAAGTTAGATAAGTAATGTCATCATTATTTGACGTTTGAAGAAAAACTTGTTTACATCATTCTTCTTTATAGACATTTTTTTTATACTTTAGTCTTGGCTGGATGACACCATTATATAATTTTTTGATACAAAACTAATGTAGCCAATAATGTTAAATACCTGTGACGATAAAAATAAGAGTTCGCATTTAAATTTTAAAACCAAACAATAAACATCCAAGAAGTATCAAATAGTTAAAACATTAATTAATTGATATAAACACTTCTCTAGAAAAATAATTTAAATTTGAAACTTAAGCGGCTTACCATGTATTAAACTGGCACACATTTTGGCTTCGATTGTTGTCTCTTTTACCCAAAAAATGAAAGCCAAATTGATGTCGTTCATTCCTTGGTTAACTTATAAGTAAACTAAACATGTATTTTTTGCAAATTGTTATAAATAGAAAGGGAGTAATTAAAGAAGATATTGCATTTGAAAACTGACTGCATTAATTTAATCGTTAGACGTTGATATTTTGGAAAGAAAATATGCTTTTTATACACATATTTCATGTTTTTATGTTTCTATAGATTTTTAAACAAAAGTGCTATTTGAATAAGATGTAATTTTGGTTGTTTTCCTTATCTCGAAATTTTGGAGAGAGTAATTGTCTAATCTACCACTCCTTTTCTCAGCGACATATATTGTCTACCAAGGATTATCCCAAGCCTTCTTTAACTTTTCAATGTAAATATATAAATATGGCATAGGTAGCCGTTGTTTTTGGTCTATTTTTTCTACCATAGCTTGTTTATGTTTAAGTTTGTTCATTTTTTGAAAACTCATTTAAAATATGATCTAATCGAAATATTCTAGATTACCCTATCGTAATATTCGATTTTGTTCGAATTCATCACTCGAAAATATTGTTTTTATAAATAAACCACTGTGTAGCTATGTAGAGGCAAATAAATGACTTTTTTCTTTCTTATTTATGAGCCCTAAAAACTATATAATACACAAACAAAATACACGCAAAATCCAGATAGTTGACAGTTTATTTTTTAATCATATTTTTTAACGTATTACTATGTAATTAGATAATTATTATTAATATATATTCAATCATCAATACAACACAAAATATACTTGCTCTAACATAACTACTTAATAATACAGAATGTTGGGAAGGAAATTCGGTTGGGAATTTACTCGACTAAAGGTCTGCACTATTCAGAGGTAAATTCATTGCAAATCGGCTCCATTTTGAAGAAAAGACATGAAAATATAAAACAAGAAAAGACTGTGGTTTCCAAACCAGTTGTTTGTGGTTCTGGCCGTATGACAGGTCACTTCGCCCTGCTAAAAAATATAATTTCCGTCAGTATTTAATTTCACAATACTTGGTAGGATACTATTTTGAGGTATTTGTTGATATTTCACAGCCTTTACGGTTCCTCAATAAATTAAAAACATCCTAACCCTGAAACTGTCATTACACAGTCTTTGTGAAAAGCCTAATACTTAATGCGAATAACTTGTTTGCGTTAATTATCAACACCTACGTTGAATTTTGATTCTTTATTAAAAATTACTCGAGGCGAATCGTCTACCGACCAAGAAAGATTAGATGTTGCTCAAATAAATCTTAATTGCTTTTGTTTTGCTGTTAACAGTGGTTTTTTCTTTGCCTAGTAAAAATATATTAAAAAATAATAAACTACGGGTACCCTTTTAAGATGTTACCTGTAATTCAAATTTATAACATTTTAATCCGGATTTACGTGTCTACTTGCGACAGAATTTTCTTGGCATATTTTAATCCAGTTTCATGATTCCCTTCAGCTGTATCTTGCCTAAGAGTATACCTAAGATACCTACTTCATGTTTCCTCATAATATTTAATTTTCTTCCAAACTCTAGTTTTAGGAATATTAATTTTATCCGCCACTTTTGAAGGATTGTTTTATTTTCGGAAAAATATTTTAATCACCAACTCAGGAATTTTCTTATTTGTACGGTGAAGATACCAGCCACCATATTATTGAAATAATACAGCAATTTATTCGATTACAATAAATTATTTCTAGAATTTGAGACAGTACTTGGGACATATAATGGGAAATCATGGCAGATATGAGCTACTTCAATGCATTTTGCAAGGTAAAATTTAAGGAAAGAGGAATGAATACGAAAAAGAATAGGATGAAGAAGGCTTGCTAACCTGAGAGTATGGTATAGAAATACCTTAACACAGCTATTACGTATAGCAACCACCACAGTCATCATAGCCAGAATGAACGCTAACGTTCGGAACAGACAGGCTCGCTAAGAAGAAGATTTGTAGAATATAATTTGACGTTTGTTAGAGTGTCTATTTGTCTTATTTTGTATGATGTTTAGAAGTTTCTTCATAATGCCCCATTATTTAGTTGTCACTAATTTTTACATTTTGATGGGCCCTATGACATTAAGTTATATGAGTTGTATAAAACAATATTCATTACATTTTGTGACTATATATTCTTTAAAATCTTATTGATTTAGCATTATTATAACTTAAAAAAAAATATTACATTAACATTCAAACACCTAAATTTGTTATATATTTTAATTTGTCCCATTATATAATTTTTAGGGCCCCTATGATTATTTTGTTAATATTGGTAATCTACACTTCTATTTCTGAGTAAAATAACGAAATTTGTTCTGTAGAATCCTATGTGTTAAAAAACCTTTTTTGGAAAGTTCTTCATAAGTTTATTGAATTATTCTACTACTTAATTGTTAACCTGATGCACATATCGTAGTAACATCCAGTAACGTTTTTGTGGTCCCTATGTTATGTCGGTTTTCTGTCAATCTTTTATATTCTGTATGTGTAGTGCATCTGATTTCAACCGATGTCTCGACAGCTCTTCCTTTCAAGTTATTACAGGTTTTTAGTAGATATGCATGAACGGTAATGAATAATGAATGTGAGTAACGCCATCGCTTGATATCGTCTTTAGATGCAATTCTATTACATGCATATTGTTTCTGTGTAGTTTAGTTGTTGGTGTAACGTTTTACAGCTTGGTAGGTACACCCGATACGGGAGATAAATAGCCATTTTACAGAGACACTCATCTGTACCTTTTTTTTTCAGATTTTTTTTTATATTATAAACTTAAATAATGAGGGTGACACAAGCTTTTCTGTACATCCTTCTAATAAAAGGTAATCATGAATAAGCACTATTTTTCATCTCGATTTTCCAAAATATCAAAATCGCACCAAATCATACATTTAAAACAACTTACTTGTTACTGTAACCTGCCAGTTTTTAAAGTGTACAAGCCCATACCAATAATTCTTGTACTCTTATCATATACGAAGTGTTCGGTATATGAAAGTTACCAAATATGTACACTGAATTTTAACTTTTTGTACATAAAAGCAAAAAACTGACTAGATCCTAGTCCAGTAATTCTGATATTTGTAATTACGTGTAAGTTTAAAACTGCTATGCATATCTAGTGTATTTATATTCTTTATCGTAAGTATTATATATAGAAAACTACCAACTTTCGGAATAGATTTATGCAGTTTATTCATATTGGGACATAGCACAACAGAGATATTCTGCTTTATGTTTTTTTTATAGCAAGATAGACCCTCTATCCTATGTTCATTAACAACTGTCATTATACAAATGTGTGTTCGTCAAATAAGGCAAGAAATATTATCTTTTAACTTTTTACATTTCATAAAATGTAATTGGATTATAAGATAATGTCTTATAGGTTAAACAAAACTGCATAAGACATTTCCTAACAGTTGTAGAGAGCGGACGTAAATTTTCTATTAACATTAATTTGAACTTTATTTTCTATTTAAATGAATATAGAGCAAGCTAGAGTACACATAAATGTAGTTAAACATTGTTTTTATTTTTTAATTTTGTATAATTTTCTTTTTAATACAAGTTTATTTTTACCAACGTGTTGTTTTTGTTCATAGCCCAGAAAAATGTATTTTATCAGTTTTTGCTTAAAATACTATGAAGCTTAGAGAGTAAACCAAAATACTGGAAAAGAGTCGGTAAGAGAAAATATAGAAAACAAGAGAACTTATGCAAATAATGAGAAAATATCCGAATTGCACGTAAACTTCACGTTGTTCCAAATTATGTCTTTACCGCATAACTTTACGATAACTGCATTGGATGGTTGAATCTTAAGTCTTCTTAAATCCAAACTTTCATTATAGACTTCTGCCCCACCCCTTGGTGGGGTAAAAGTTATCACCCTATTGGACTCTATAACTTTTGAAAATTGAACCAAATGTCAATTCGGTTTTGACATTTGTGAAGTAAATAAACGTAGAATATAAATTGATAAGCCATGAATTGATTTACTGCGCAAGAACGCGGAATAATTGTTTTAATTTTTTTGCGCACTAATTCGTCGGTTTTATTGGTGCATCGTGAATTAGTCTGACATTAACTGGACAAACACTGCGGCGTTTGACCAGTCGCCTTGAAGAGGCTGGAACAACACGAGATGCTCCCAAGGCTGGTCGGTCCTGGAGTAGCCGTTCTACTGAGAATATCGCTGTTGTTGCCCAAGATGTCGAAGAGGAGCCCGGAATATCGACAAGACGAAGTGTCACGGCCAGCGCCGGCGGTGCATACGTAGAATTTCGGTAAAAGATTTGAAGAAATTTCTTACAAAGTGTAGACAGTGCATAAGCTCTTAACTATTGAATACCAAACGTATCTAACCTACGCCCGAACCATATCGAAAATTATCATAAACGATCAGACTTATTTCCATCTTGGCGGTTACGTGAATAAACAAAATTATTATTTCTGGGGTATCAAAAATCCGTGTATTAGTGATGTAACGAATATTCGCATTCGCATTCGCGAATATTCGCATATTTTTGCATATTCGCATTCGCAAAATTTGTGCGAATGTTTTGCGAATATTACACAGCTTGCATTTAGCTCGTTCAGTACCGAAAAGTGGTGAAAAATAAGTCCATATTTCACTATAATTTGATTTACTCATAGTAATAAATCGCTAATCACACTTTAACTAAAAATTCACTTGTATTTGTGCACGAGCAGAGCAGGGCAAGTGGAGTGACTTGTGTCCCGTGAAATTTTTATTGGAACTATAACCAGAGAACTTAGTTCTCTGCTATAACTTTCTCTCTATAACAAGTCAAATTTGATTATAACAAGAGAAAATAAGATCGAAAAACGTGCTTTTTTTGGCTGGACGTGACTATAAATAAATACCTTTTTAAACGACCCCTCAATAAACTTAACCGCCTACAATAAACTTCTTTACAATAAATACAACTGTTTCACATCTTTACTTTAGCAAATATGATAGAATGATACTGGACAATTTAAAGCAGTTAAAAATGACTTTTTCCAATTGCCTACACACTTCGCGCAAATGAGACTGCCGGCAGTGCCGGAGACAATTAAAATTGCCAAATTAAAAAAAAAACTGAATATTCGCATTCGCGAATGTCGGTGGCATATATTCGCATTCGCATTCGCGAATGTTTAAAAAATGACATTTGTTACATCACTACCGTGTATTACCTAGGAAGAACCATTACACCCGCTCAAAAATACTGCGTGGTCTGGTTTACGATGAAGGAGTTATTGGGCCATTTTGCTTTGAGAACGTCGCAGACCAAACGACGACTGTAGACGGCGCGCGCTACAGAGCCATGATTACCGAATTTTTTTTTCCTAATTGGATGAATTGGGACTAGAGAACATGTGGTTCGAGCAGGACGGTATAGCGGTGCACACTGCTCGAACTATAACCGATATTCTGAAGGAAGCATTTCCGGGTCATTTTGTCTCTTGTTTTGGTAATTTGCACCGGACGATCACCGATTTAACGATTCTAGAATTTCTTTTAAAGGGTTTTTTGAAGTCGTGGTTTTATATTAACAAGCCTTATACTTTTAAAGCCCATATTTGCCAGGAATGCGAGAAGCAGTCGCTCGATGTTCTTGCAAGAAAATTGGAAAATGCCATGGTCATCAACTCTGGCGGCGGCCACTTGGCCGATCTCATTTTCTCGACTTAATGGAATAAATTCCAATAGATTTGATACTTTTGATGATTTGAAACAGTTTAAACAGATCTGACTACGGGACGGATCAAACCTAGCGGGTTGAATATTTGGAAAATAGGTAGGTACTTGATAATATAGAACGTTTTGTGATGTTTGACAAAGAGAGAGGATTGGATTTATATTATGTGGAAGATTTGGGACCCAACTTAAGTCCTAAAGTTTTTGTATTTTCATTAGTACCAAAATAAAATGGACTATCTAACTAGTATATAGAATCATGCATTTTATGAAATATTTATATAAAAGAGAGACAGGGAAACAACGAATTTACCATCTGCTTGCCTTTGTTAGTTTTTTTGGAAATCAGTTTCGCACTCTTTCTCCTCTTACAGCAGTTTAGAATTAGAAGCATTGCATTCTTCTAGTTCAGATCTTAGCCCAGAATCGACTAAGATCTGAACACATTTTAGTATGTGCAAAATTTTATAGTATGGTTATATAAGATGATTGAAACAATTTAGTTTTATAAAGAATTGGATTTTGAGGTCCAAGTTGATCTGACCTACATATAAGAGATCACAGAAATGACCTGCGCTTATTAGTTGATACAGTACTTTATATAACTAGTTGCAGCTTATCATTTGTCTCCTCTCTTCTTCTTAGTATCAAATGGCAATTGTAGCTTTGGAAACTGCTGCACGAAAAATATCTGCTGATGAGTGGTCAAACCATCTCCTTAGGTCTTTTAGCCACGAAGTTGTGGCGTCTTCCTACTGATCTTTTGGCCTGTACTTTACCTTCCATAATGATTCGGAAAACTAATATCTTTCACCTCTCAACACAATTATTTCATTTTCTTCTCTTTGATCATGCTTAGTAATTCTTTTTGTTTACTAACGCACCGGAGTACTTCATCGTTGGTAACTTTTTGTATCCATGGAATTCTCAGTATACATCTATATGTACATCTCAATGGCATCTACTTTTTTTCCATTGCCCAACTGCCACAGCAATATAGCAAGACAGAGAAAACCTAACATCTCATCATTCGGATTCTGATCTCTACACTCAGGTCTCAGAAGGTCTGTAAAAAATGTTTTCATGTTCATAAATGTTTTGGCAAGAATAACAGGATTTTTTTGGGTTACACTGGCTGTTGATATTTGCACTCAAATATCTCATTAAAGTTACTTGTTTTATTATATGTTCCTTGTTATACAAAATATACTTCATCGCTGGTAAAACAAGCCAAATTATTTAAAAAGAAGACGTTCGACCAATACGTGCTTATAGTCATGAGTTACGGCACCGAAACACTTTCCTTAACCAGGTTGCTACAGCAACCAAACACAGAGTAGCTCAAAGAATAATGGAACGCTCGCTACTTGGACTGACTCAGAGACAGGGTTAGAAACGAAGAAATAAGGACAGTCTTCACTGATGGCATAGAGTATAGTATGGGTGAAGTGGAACTGGCCGGACCATGTGGCCAGAATGAACGACCGGCGGTGGACTCAAAAAATTACATTATGGAGACCACGAGCGGACAGAAGAAGCAGAGGTAGACTACCTACACGATGGACAGGAGACTTTAAAACAATCGCTGGGAATTGGTTAAGGCCGACGGAACTGGAAGAAATTAGGGAAGGCCTATGTTCAACTTTGGACGAAGAAGGCTAGATGATGATACAAATGTTAATTTATTGGCATTTTTGAAAATACTAGAATTTTATTTTTGGAAATATTTAGATTTAAACCAAATATTTCGCTATGAAAACAATCATTTATTACATTTTGTACTCTTGTGAGTGACGTTGTCTCCCCTCTTACACTCTTAAATTTTCGACACCATTCCTTGACATACACTGCTTGCAAACCTTTAGCACACACAAATTGAATGATCGCACGCTGATTATGTTTGGAAGGATTGTTAACAACTAACTCTATTTTTAAGTCATACTACTTAAAATTGAAATCGCAGTCGAGTACAACTGATAGGAACACATCAGTGTAACGTTTACAAATATAACTGACATTGCACAACGTTAGTTGAGTGATTGTTGTGTGATAAACTTGTTTCCCAAGCTAAAACATGAACAAAGATGGGTTTCAATTGAACAAGCGATACATATTTAGTTTTTCAAATGTATCTCCATTATTTGTTTCGTTTAGCGAACCCCTCAATCAGCACATCTTTAAACCGCACTTTAACATTTTTATGAAATCACTTTCATTTCCTGGATTTTTCCGTAAAGAACTAATGTATTCCTATACCTTGTAATGTAATAATGTATAGTCTTATGTATTCTTCACATGACTTCGCTGTTTGTTACAAATGTACAATTTTGTTCATTAGAAATTATAGATATTAAAACTATTTTAGTAGTAGTGCATAAAACTGGAAATGGGAATTTCAAAGTTTTTCTAGATATATTTGAAAAGTTATTGGTGTTTTGCCCTGCTAACTTTTTATAAATAATAATAATTGGAGATTTCAACATTGATTTCAAAAAAGCTTCTAATGAACCAAACAGTTTCCTTGATCTAATTTCTACTTTTCTCATCTTGCTCAATTTCTTTACTTAAAAATAAACTCTGTAAAAAAGGCATAGTGCTAATACATACAGAAGACGTATAACAACTAATGGCATCCTGATGTTAAAACAGTCGTTACATAACGTTGACTGGGCTTCAGTTGTCAGCAACAGAATTAGCTCAATTTATTACCGAAGTGTATTTCAAGTTAACTGAAAGTAATTTTTCAATAAAAAAATCACGATCTCATAGTAAAGCTCCAATTTCTTGGTTTGATGATGAACTAATAGTAATACGAGAAAATCTTTCCATGTTAAGATAATTGCTGATGTTACCAAGAAATATAGTGAGTATAA